ACCATAAGGTTATAATGCTAGATATGCACATGAAAATGTGTAAAATCGTTTTCTCTACAAAATGTGATCAAGACTAGGTCGGAAAAGCAGTGGGCCAAAATCAATGAAAAGCGGGCCCCCTCCTTTGTCTTTACACTGCTTTAAATAATGATATATGACGTTTTTTCCAGGTTTTATCCATAGGAACTTTTTGTGAATTAAGTGTCTGAGAATATCGAAATGAGATATGGGTATTTGCGTTGATTACTTGATGTTTTTTTAAGGCTAGTAGCGGATAGTCATGGTTATTTTTCACTGTACTATGTGCTTGCGACATTCGGCGTTAGGCGTTTTTGTGTTTGTTTTAATTGTGTACTCAGCAGCGTTTTAGGGATTTTTTTCATTGCCGCTGTTTTGTAGTGGGTGGAAGGGCGCGTGTCTGGGGTATTTCCCGAATTTTGTGTGCCCTAGAGATTTGGTGAGGTTGCGTCATCGCAGTGCCGGTACAGCTTTTTAAATTAGTTTTCTTTTCCTTTGAAGTTTCAAAGTTTTTTTTGGTCATGGGGAAAAAGTGCGGAAAAGGGGCTGAGGTTTCTTTTGAATGACTCTGGTTAGAATAAAGTAAGCATATTAGTTCTAAGTGCTTTTTCCAAGCAGTAAATAACTGGAAGGGTAGCAATCCCCCGATTGTGCTGATTTTCAGCAAATTTTGTTAGCATATCCGCGCCTAGAGGTGCCGGAGTTAGTTTTTTATAGTTCTACATGGTCTTCTCGTTGTTATTCGATATGTTAGGACCAGGTTCTTCTGATCAGGCATCATGTCAAACTAATCCCTAGTGAAAAAGCTCTAATGATGAAATAGGTAGAATTCACAATAGCATATATGAGTTCACATTGATTACTGGAATGAACATGTTTCCATACTAATTACTTCAACCAATATATTAATCGAAGTAATTAATGATAGTGCATATTGATCGCAGTAATTCATTTTATTCTAATAAGCTGACTCCACTAATTAATATGGCATTTGCATTTATGGCTACTATTTTCTTTTTTTATCCCATTGCTTCCTTTTTAATTGTAAATATATTTTTGTCAAAACTCCTGCTGATCATCTGCTTTTCTCACATCATTCTCTATATATGTTTTTGTCGAAACTCCTGCTGATCATCTGCTTTTCTCACATCTTTCTCTATATATGTTTTTGTTCTTTAGCTGTACTTTAATCATTAGCTCCAGACACTAGAAGAGCAGCTCGCTACCGTAAGCGCATTACAAACCGAAGGCCTTTTTTGATGTGCATGAATATTCACATCTGCATAGCTCAATATCGTTAATATATATGATCTGTATGCTTAGTCTGAAACGGGAGTAGAAAGTGTATATTTAAACTTCGTCATCATGCTCAAAATTGAATTACATTTGGAAGCAATGTAAGTTATATGACGTTTCCGGGATAATGATGAAGTAAAGTATACACCGAGATGCTTGTGTTCCTCGACACGCTCCAGAGCATCAGTTGCCAATTACAGTATTCCCGACAATGGCTGTTTAAAAAAAGACATTGAAATACATTTTAGACTAATTGCAAAAGATACGAGAGTTTCTATCATTTTATTGATTAACTTACAAATCAACGTGGACGTTTCGACTTATCGCAAGTCATTTTCAACACAAAATGAGCAAAAGAAAATTAGAAGAGAGAAGTTACTGTGCCACTAGATAACTTCTCAATTTTTCTTACTTCTTTCACTCTACCTCGACCGTACTTTGATCCGAGGCGGCACAGTAACTTCTCTCTTCTAATTTTCTTTTGCTCATTTTGTGTTGAAAATGACTTGCGATAAGTCAAAACGTCCACGTTGATTTGTAAGTTAATCAATAAAATGATAGAAACTCTCGTATCTTTTGCAATTAGTCTAAAATGTAGTCTGACTCGTAATTTTTAGCTAGTTTTTGAAGTCGTCTGATTCCAGTTTTGGTTAGAGCATATATTAGTGAACAGCTGGACGATCTATATCCACTCTGATAGTGGATTTTCCCAACACGAAAAGTCCGCTGTCTTTTTGTGTAGGTACTTTTTAACGCATGTCAGCAGTTTTCCTTTCTCCAAAGTCTCGATTGAATTAAACAAAACATTCCTATGGTATTGCCATATATAAAAAGGCGTCACGTGCGTCTCCACTATGATCTTTTAGTTGCTTTTTTTAGACCGAGAAGCGCTCTTATCGTCTATAGAGAGAAGAAAGAGAAAAGCCGGATGATTTTTCGTGTTGGAAAAAACCCACTATCAGAGTGTACACATGCAAAGAATGAGACGTTTTATATAACCTGCAAGAAAAAATGAGAAATATTTTCCTTCATCCGTTTATGTAAACTCAACAAACGCATTCAAAAGGATTTACACGATTTACTTAGCGCAGATTTACTTTTCGGTTATTTTTTTCTATTTTAATTAGTTTTTGTCCACAGAAGAGGAAAGACAAATGTGTTTTGACGTTAGAGCCAATAATCGAAATAAGTAACATTTCAAAGAAAAAATGAGAAATATTTCAAAGAAAAAATGAGAAATATTTCAAAGAAAAAATGAGAAATATTTTCCTTCATCCGTTTATGTAAACTCAACAAACGCATTCAAAAGGATTTACACGATTTACTTGGCGCAGATTTACTTTTCGATTATTTTTTTCTATTTTAATTAGTTTTTGTCCACAGGAGAGGAAAGACTTACAGACCGAAACGTTGCGTGTACTATTAAATAAATAATAAATAGTTCATTTTTGTCAGTTACGGCTGCTTCTTTAAAATATTACTTAAAAAATGAGACATTTTATATAACATGCCAATAAAAATGAAAAAAAATTTTCCTTTTTCTCTTTATGCAAACTCAACAAACGCATTCTAATGTCATCCCAATTCTTTTCTAAATGTGCACGTTTTGTCGGTAATTTATTACCCTTAGCCTATACACACACATTTATTCAAAGCACAAGGTGAGATAAAGTATTTATCATGTTCCAACATATTGCACAGAAAAGAAAAAACTCATGATTGATATTTCTGTAAATATTTTGTTTTCTTTAGAGATATCAGATCTTTGGTGTAGTCAAGTGGTTCATTATTAATATTTCTCTCTCAAACGGTAAGTACACTTAACCATATTAAAATGACGGTTGTATTTAGACTGGATAGAAGTTAACAGTTGTTACATGATCTTTCGAAGTTTTTATTTTACAGCCAATGTTTAAAAAATATATAATCCCACTAAGTTCGACTGAAAGAGTACTGAAACTCTACTCGTGATTGACAGCTTTTAGAAGGCAAGACGTTTAGTGAGCTTTGGATTTGATTTAGGCACATGTTGCTGTTTACCGATATAGTTTATCCTTTTTCTCAATTATATCGATTGAAACGTGCAAAATATCAAAGATTTGTGACGACTCAGTTTTGCAAAGCAAACATTTTTTTGCAAAAGTATCTTTGGAAGAACTATTCGTCTTTTCTCTTTATGCCGTAATCGCTGCTTGCACAGAGCTAGAAAACAGTTTCAACTTATACCGGGTGGCATCGGTTGTGAAGTATTTTGTCAAAATTTTCTATTTGGGTACTGAATCGAGGCGAAAAGTGGAATATACCGCATTTTTCTAGGGTAGACGGCTTCTCCAAAGGCTTGACGCTGTGACATTTCTGACACAGTAATTTGCATTTTTCTCGAAAACTATAGGAGCTAGAAAGTTCGTTTTGGCGCCATTCGGCGTAACTCACCAAACTCGACTTACAATGAAGATTTTCGGTTCAAGACTCCAGCTTCCAGAAAGATTTTTCAGCAAGTAACGCTGTGACAGAAAGGGTCCCTATTTTTTGAGAAATACCGATACAGCTCTGATTTCCTGCGAATTGAGCTGTGCATCTGAAAGGTTTCTAGAGCCAAGTTTGTAGAGCAGCTAACAGGCTTTCTTTTAGTGGAAAACATGTTTTGTCAGACCCTTCAGCACGCCTAGAAAAGTCGCTTTTATAAAGTAACGCTGTGACACACTTTTTTGTCGCACCATCTTTAGGCACTAAACGCTCTTCCAAAAACTTCGTACTTATTGTCTGTGGAGTTCTAGGTTTTCTGAAAAGACTCTAGTTGAAAATAAATTTTAAAAATTCTCTGAGGCTTTCAGACCAAGGTGGAAGTTGAAAAGTTCAGGCAGCCACTTTGTCTCGACCGAAAAATAGATCTCAAAACAAAATGAGCCATTTTGTAGAGAATTGAATTCTCTATTCAATGGGATATTTTTAAAATTTTTTGAACAAAAAGAAGAAAATTGAAATTAAAGTTTTTAAAAAGTTTAAATTAAAATTTGTATAATGAAAATTAATTTTTTCTTCAAAAACAAAAGTCAGATTCGTGATCAGCATGAAAAGCTGCGTCTAGTGATGTGCCCCTATCGATTTTCCGATGAAAAAATTCAAAAAAAACTTGATCAGTGAAATGTCACGTTACGTGCATAAGCAAGCCGTAGTAATGTGCACAGATACCGTTTTCAGACCCGTACCCAATCCGAAATTATTTTTCACCCTACTCGACCCGACCCGAGAACTTTGTAGCCGTACCCAGCTTATGCCTAAAAATTTTCTGGTTTTCGGTTTCCAACGTTGTTGTTTCGGCTAGAGATGTCAAGTTACCATTACGTTCTTGTTGTGCATATGGGATGGCCGAATGCTATCTACATCCATCTATGCTTTTAGGAGACCTTTCCCTATGCAAACATTCGCTGGTTAAGCTCAATAAATCATATTCTCACGAAAGAGTTTGTCTGATCTGATCTCGTATCCCATTCACTGCTGATTTTATATTTAGGACAAGCTGATGTCGTCGGTGACTTCATCTTCAATTATTTCTCGTCACCTTCTGCTCGTTGATTGTGATGGCGGTCGAGGCAGATTATTCGAACGATTTACCATTCAAGATCTTCCGAAATACACAGATATATATTTATTCTGGAATAACACAGATGCATTCGTTACAGCAGAGTTGAATAAGCTGAAAACCATCACTGAAAAAATACATCTCTGTCCATCTCATTTAATTGACTGCAAAAACTCAGCGGATGGGAAATTAATCTATTTTCTTGGCAAACTAGTGAAAGATTATGATCGCATTTGGATTATCCAGGGTTCGGATCGTATTTATGAAGAAATTGAAGAATCAGTCAATTATGAATATCCGCATGAAGAAAAAATAAAATTAATCAAAATCACTGTGCCTGGATCTATTGAATTGGGAAAAATTCTTATGCAAATACGCCAGCAGTCAACATTAAATCGTCCAAGGGTTATACCAATTCAAAATGGTATTGAATTCTTAAATGATACCAAATGCCAGGCGTGTCCATTATGTACTTCTAAAAAACGCCAGTTTGGTCTTCATGGTTTACTCAGTCATTTACGCGATAAACATAAGCGTCCTTTTACTTGTCGCCTCTTTCTCGATACTTCGTCTATCCAGAATGGTGATAAGGCAGATTCTTCAGCGGTTCCTTCAACAGAGAAGACAAAAGCTGCTTCTGGTGCACTAATTTGTTCACATACGAAGTTGCAGTTTATCTTTGAACCAAGCGTAGGTCAAACTTTCACACGAAGTCCAGCGCAACAAATACATGGAGAAAAAATCAAATGTCCTCATGATGACTGTCAACACAAGAGTAAGTCATACGGTGTTGATGGCTTAGTAACGCATTGTAAATGCAAACATAAACTAGATCTTTCTTTTCAATGTGGCGGGGAAAATACACCAATTATGAAAACAAAAGGCTTTAAAAAACATTTGAAGAAATAGCCATGCACCGAATGAACTGAACATGTACAAAATGTACACAGCCTTGTATTAGTACAAAATGCAAAATCCAAAAAAATAATAAAAATAAAAACATAAAACGAAAACGTCGTGCACCATTCTCCACTCACAGTTTCAAATAGTAAGAGAAGAATTACGCGAATGACCAAATATATTTGGATGTAATAGAGAAATCTTATGTTTGAAAAAATTTAATACCATTTCTAAGTTATCCATGCGTTCATATGTCATGGCAATATTAGCAAATGTATCTGCAATATCAAAATGATATGCCGGTAAATGTTTCTTTTGAATTTCAAGGGCAAGTTTGAAATTTTTCATTGCATCGTCATATTTTTCTTAAAGTAAACAAGTGAGACCAATGTTAAAGTAGACGTGAGCGAATTCAAGATTATCATCATCATTATTGTACATTTTTTTATAAATATTTAACGTTTTATTGCAACATGACAATGCTATTTCATAATCGCCGTTGTCATTGTATGCCAAACCCAAATTATTGTAATTGTTTGCTTGTATTTCCTCACCATTCACACTTGATTGAAAAAGTTTTAATACTGTTTCATGATAAAAAATTGCCAAAACATGTTTGCCTTCTGCATAAGCAACATTTCCAAGTTCTGTAAACGTAAGACAACTGGGAAAAAACACGGGCAACATCTCCTATTTATCTCAGTCATCTCTTACCTGTATAACGACAAACAACTTCGATAGGATTTTTATAATCCATTTCATTTGCTTGACGTTCATAACATTTTTTAGCTTGATCATATTTGTCCATGCCTTTTAATACAGCGCCTAATGAAGTAAGATCTGCTTTTTCACCTAAATTTTTGTTCATATAATCTGTCAAGTCTTGCAATTCTGGATTATTATTGATACCTGCTAAATGAAGTTTAATTACAGAAATACAATCAGTTCTTGTTTTAATTTCATTAATTTTGAAAATTGAACCTAACATAAATAAAATTTCAGCTTCTTGTTGAAAAAAACTTTGTAATGAAATATCAGCATATGGTTCCACATTAATCAATGAAGGATCAATATCAATTTCAAATACAACTCGACATAGATCATTTGTAGCAAGAGCAACATTTGATATAAAGTTAAATGCCACCTTTTGATTCAGTGTTGTTGATAAACAACTATTTAATAATAAATATTTTCTGATTATCAATTTCATTCCATCTAATTCATCCTTTGACCTTAATTGATCACGGAATACACATACGGTTGGAGTTCGATTGTCGTCGTCGTTAGCCTCAGATTGCAATTGTTGATATAAATCAGTAATAAAAAAACGAAATGCAATCAATGTATCAATGTCTTGCATCGTAGAGCTTTATTTAACATTTCATAAACAAAACTATCGCGTGTATACCACCAAACTGCTTTCTCGGGCGAATATTTTTTCAAATTCTTTTACTATTTCAAGTTCAGTGAGATTTCCAACGTACGTTTCGTTACAAATGTTAATTAATTCTTGACGATCATTGACTGCATGTTTCATTTTCAACAAGACTTGAATCAACAATTGAGACCATAGAAAATTTCCATTTAATTCAGATGATGAGTTCTCTTGTGTGGACAAACCTGATGAAGCATTCGAACTACTAACACTAGCTGTGGACATTGAAGTTGCTGCATTTTCAAATTGTTGACGATCTTTTTGATCTTTTGAAATTTTTGCAATTAATTCATCAGAATTTATAATCACCTCACAACCCTAAAACTAGAAACTAAATGTCAGCACAGCATCTGCATTATTCAAATATACAAAGGATATTAAAATTCGTCAGACTCTTTCATTTTTTGAGTTTTGAAAAACTGTCGAATAAAAATCTCTTGTCCGATAGGTCCTACCTTATTTTTATAATTTTTTGCCTTCCTTTAAATCTGCTATCTACATTACCAATAATTGTACATAATTGTTCTACAAATAATTCGATATCATCAGTCAATTGATTAATTTCATCTAATATTGGCAGTTGACCAATACCATTTACATGTATCATTTGAGATAGATATGAGTAAATATCATCGACATCTAGAGCACCACGACACTCTAGATATGATTGTAAAAAATCGTCAGGAAGGGAATGATGACTCGGTTCGACAATATCATATATTTCATCAGCTGATACACTAATAAAATATAAATTATCAGCGATAAATCTGCATTGATTATCGGGAAATTGTGAAGTGTAAAAATAATTTCTAAATATTGCACATTCAACTGGTGTCATTCCGTTCGAATCGTTTTTAAATGGATCAGAATCGGCTTCAAGTAAAATATTAACAATATCAGGTGTTGCACGATGATAGGCGTAGTGTAATGGAGTTGAATTATTATTATCAACCGCGTTTACATTTGCACCACAGTCAACAAGAATTTTAACAATTGTTGGAGTTTTGAAAGCAGCTGCTGCATGCAGTGGTGTTACACCATGTTTATCTGAACGATTTATTTCAATTGAAATATTATTCATTCGTTTGCATAAGTAGAGCAAAGATTTTTCATTCAAACAATGAACAAGATGCAATAATATTGTCCATCCCATATTGTCGGTAATATGAATATTTGCTTTATAATTTTCTATCAATAATTTCATTATACTAAATGAATTAACACAAGCGTAAATTAATGGAGTTAAACCATCGATATCACAAGAGTTGAGTAAAGAAGAATCCATTTTTAATAACAATTTTATGGCAATTCGACAACGTTTCCCTTCACATACAGCATAATGTAAGGGCGTTTTATCGAGATAGTCTTTGCATTGAACATATATGTCATGTGTTATTAATAACTGCAAAACATTCAAAAAAAATTTACTATTTCCTTTATGTCCTGACTTTCCTCCATAAATAAAAAGACTATGCAAAATTGTTTGCTGTTTCAAATCGTGATAGTTAACAAATGCAAGACAGTTTTGAACTAAATAGATGATAAATATTTTTCGTTCATTTACTGTTGGCAAATGCACAAAATAGCCATCTGATGAATAGGATTCATCTTTATACCATTCCATTAATGCAGATCGATTTTCATTGTTTCGAATGTTTATGTTTGCTTTTGCTTTAAGAAGTGTCATTACTATGTCTATAAATTTTGAATAAAACAGTGCAGTTTTACCATTTTTGTCTTGAGCATTGATTTTTATTCCTTGTAGTTTTATTACCTCGATCAAACATTCGATTGAAGTACGACTCAGTATAGCATACATTAACGGTGTTTGTCCACGATTATTTTTTGAATTATAGTTAGCACCAGCCTCAAGTAATAATTTGAAACAACGTCTAACATTTGAATCCAAATATCTTCATCCAAATATCTTCATCCAAATATCGTAATTTGAATATATCATATGTATGACGATAGTCAATATTATAATCATGGCGAATGGCTTTAAACATGAAATTTTTACTCATTACAACTTATAACGATTGAAAAGTACAAACAAATTGAATTTTTGTATACGAAAAGACATAGTTCTTTCAACTTTGCCAGTAAATAATGTTTTAATATCTTGGCTTTTTCCGAACACTTGTATACTTTAGTTGC